CCTTAAATTTTTCCTTTTATCTTTTAGTTGTATAAGTTGAATAACAAGAGGATTAGTATTGTTTATTCCCTACCTATTCTCTCTCTCTCATACATATACCCACGGTCGAATGTTCAATTCCATGGCATTGTACATTTCATCAATGTTGTAAGATGTTATTTGTGGTTTTAGATATGGCAAAACTAATAAAAATTGACGAGTCACTTCAGAATTAATTTGGATTCATTTGGTGTTTGGAATATCACTCTCAAATCAACCATGCTCTCCGGGCACCCCAAAGGCCTGCAGAGTTTTCCAAGCCCAATTACCAACATTCAGGTTGTGCAGGATGCTTGGTTTGAGTTCATGGGGAAAAAAAAAAACTAGCTCTCCAAAATTCTTATAAAAGCATGACAAAAGCGCCAAAAAATAACATAACCAATAACAAATATGAAAATTTTGAAATAACAACATAAGCGAAATAATATATTGAGTTTCTGATAGGACTTCGCGTGGTTCAGCAGCCCCCAAATTGACACGTGGGTAGATAGTCGTTGTGGAGTTCAAAAGGCGTCAGGAGATAACGTCAAGGAATAATGGCTCGGAGGAGCCGAATACACAGACTGCAACCAGTATTTAAGAAGATATGACAACTCATTAATGAGAAGTTGAGTGACTGTGACATGACTATTAATAAATCTCTGCATTCTCGAGACCCAAACTGACAGTCATCATTGTCAAGGCATTAATGGTCATTACCCCGACTAGATGTCCTCAGGAAGCCCCGAGGTTCTGTTCCCCGAGCATTAAACACTCAAGAATATGTGTCAAACACCGAGTAGATGGACTTAAATGACCGAAGATAGGGTCATATATGCTCAGCATGCACCGAACAGGCATCTCATCGCCCGTATGAACTAGTCATGAGAATTTGAGTAAAGAATACTCATTACGAATGAATATGAGTGCAAGTCATTAAATGTTGAGATGTGACTCCAAATCCTTACACTCATTGCTAATTCAAGTATAAATACTCTTTCAAAAAATGAGCAAGGGTACACAAACTAAACTGAGAAAATACACTGTGCTAAAAGCCTCCAACGCTCACTAACTTACACTTCAGAGGGGATAAACCGGGTGTTCACCTGACCTCTTTCCTAATCTCTGTTGATCATTTCAGATTCATCATCCAGTAGATCGCTATCTCTATTTATTGTAGAGGGAGACCTTGAATGTAGCCCATTTCTTTCTCAACTTTTGGCCAGCATCTCGTTAAAACCACCAGCTTCTTCTTTCTTGTCGTTGAGTCTCTTCTTCGTGTCTTCTAACTCATACTCAACAGAGCAAAATTAGGGCAAGTTTTAGTTTGAAATCGTGGAGTTTCATCTTAGGTTAAATTTTATACAGATTTTTGTAATTAGATCAAATGACATAGACACCCCTGATAATTTTAAAATGACATTGTAATCTTAATCCATGTTAAAAATTGATCGGTGTTAATTATTTGAATAAATAAATTTTTGTATCCTTCATTTTGTACTATGCTCTTCAAAGAGCAACTCCTCTAAAAATTTTCTCATCTGTTTGTTTAACAAGAATTTATTAGAAAATACTAGAAAGAGAAAATTTTAAAATTTTACATATATTTTTTTAGGATGAAATAGAAATGATAGAAAAAATAATTTTCTCTCATGTTTAAATTTTCTCACATCTAACTAATTTTTTTTTCTTGCAAAAAATACAAGAAAAAACAAGAAAGTTGTATTCAATAACTTAACTTCCCATTTTACCCTTATTTTTCTTAAAATATTCAATTAATTATTAATTTTAAATAAATGTGTACAAATTAGGCTAATCATATAATTTGGTTTAGAGATTAATGTTCGAGTCGATCTTTGTTCTTGAATTAGGTTAGGAGCCAATTTTTTTAAAATTTGAATAATAAAAAATATGTTTTTCTTTTTTAGACCAACTTAAAATACTTAAGGATAATTTAGATAATTAGAAAAAATTTCTTATAACTTTCATTTTTTTCAAACAATAGAATGAGATTGTTTTAAAATTTTTTTAGAAATTTTTCATACTAACCAAATATATGCATGAAAATATATTTTCTTTTGATTTCTTTTCTTTTACTTTACTTTCTATCTCTTCACTTTCTATCATCTTTTTTTTGTTAACCAAACGAATTCCAAGAGATACCGAGTTGGAATCCCATTTTAACTAAAAATTCTTATGGTTCCCAAAGATCCAGTTACAGAGAATTTTTTCTCAGTTACAGAGGGCTTTTTCCCCCTTTTTCCCTAGTTTCATGCCCCATTTTTAGACCCTCGCTTATACCCATTTTAGATCGAAAACCATGACCAATGCCTCAACATGCATAGACACACCTAATCCACACCTGCTGCACCCACCACCAACCCTTTTCCACACACCCTCCAATATAAGTTTTGGGTCTTCACTGGAATCTAAGGAAATTAAAACCCCGAGTCACAATTTGGAATTGCTCATTGAATAAAATGAGGTATATGAGAAATTCTGTGGTCCTGATTAGTCCTGAATCTTCAATGGTTGTGGTGGGGACCGGTTGTATAAAGATAAGTTAAGCATAGTAAGATGGCAATGATCGTGGGTATTGATTGTGCAAGTGAAAGTAGAACACAATATTTTTTTCAAGTCTACAAAATTGCCTATAATTCATTAATATTAAACTAAATTTCTCATTTTTTTTTTCATTTCCAATGTAACACAATTTCAGAGTATGTCATGAAATTATCATTTATTTTTTGTGGCAAAATTAGTTGAGCTCACACTTCATCTTTTTAACAAATAAAGTATTTGAAATAGTAAAAATGAATTTGCCTCTTATCTTTAATCTTGTTTTATGGGTTACGAAATAGAAAAAAGGTCAAAGGCAACTATATAATCAATATTTATACAAGTTATAGCATTTGGAGGTTAATGTACTCAGTTCTCTAACTTCATATTGGTTTGCGAGTCATGTGCACAATTGCTTGGCTTAGAGCTAGTTACTCATGCCCATCATTGAGATTACATGGCCCCGAAAGTCCTCTATNTGTGCACAATTGCCTGGCTTAGAGCTAGTTACTCATGCCCATCATTGAGATTACATGGCCCCGAAAGTCCTCTATGATTTATCTTTTGTGGGCCTTTGAAAGTATAGTTCCTATGACTTGATAAACTCTCATGTCACTCTCATATAGCATCCATATCTGGTTAGGATTGATGTCACCTTTTTAAGTTGAATGTGGCGAATATAATTGAGTAAAACTTTCTCAATTTGGTTATATGTTGAGTACATCATCTAGATCCATGTTTTATTTAATTTTTTTATGCGAACACGAGATGTTCAAAATTACCCAAAAATCAAACACATCAAGTCAGCTGTGTTTGAAATTCGAACTTAAAGTATTAAAATATTATTCACTGAAATCTTAGTTGCTGATTGGATTTATTTTTAGTAAAAATTAGAAGTGAGTCACTTATATATACTTGTTTGGAGATAAGTTCTGCAACGAAACTTATAAAAGGCTAACTTCATGTTTAAAATTATATGTAATGACTTAAGTCTATTTTTTTTTTATCTAAAAAATACCCTTCCTTGAAAGGAAGTTGATATTTTCTCTCTGACATCTATCTATATCCATATATAGGTTAAGAATTTAATTAAAATTAAAATTTTTCCTCTCTTTTATCTATCTATATCCATATATATGTTATGTATATATATAGAGAGTAATATTAAAAATAAAAAATAGTAACATTCAAATACAAAAAAAAATTACTATGAATTTGAATAGTAAAATTTAAATTTATTTTACTATTTTTTTTATTATGTTACTATTTATGTTACTGCTTTTGTTGAGTATGTTACTATTATTTTTGAGCATGTTACTGTTTTTATTGAGCATGCTACTACTATTGTTTTCTTAAATATTAATATTCAATATTACTATTTTTTTTTTTGAATATTACAATTTTTTCTATTTGAATGGTACTATTTTGCGTTTGAATTTGAGAAAAATAATTATTGTTAAGTATGTTATAGTTTTTTTTAAGCATGTTACTATTTTTGTTGAACATTTTAATATTTTTGTTGAACATATTACTGTTGTTATTTTTTAAAAATATTAATAATGAATGTTTCAAATTTTTTTATGTTTAAATGTTACTATTTTTTTGTTTTTAAATGTATTATTTTTTGTGTCCAAATGATAAATTTTTTTTTGTATTTGAATGTTACAATTTTTTATTTTTAATGTTACTATATATATATATATATATATATATATATATATAGATACACACACATAATACAGTACACACACTCAACAAAAAAATATTAACATCAAACAGTAACAACCTCAACAAAAAAATAGTAACATTAAACAGTAATACACTCAACAAAAAAATAATAACATCAAACAGTAACACAAAATATTTTTATTGAGTGTATCACTGTTTGATATTATTATTTTTTTGTTGAGCATGTCATTGTTTGATGTTACTATTTTTTTGTTGAGCGTGTCACTATTTGATTTCATTGTATTATGTGTGTATGTGTGTATATATATATATATATATATATATATATTCAAATGATACATGAATATCAAAAGAAATCTTAAAAATCTTATTCTAATCTTGAAAGTCTCACATTCAATTAGGTATGCACTATTTATGGTATGGGTAATTATGAAATACATTTTAGAAAGAATTTTAAAATATGTATTTAATGACAACTATTTGATAAAAAAGAGAAATTAAAGGAGAATAAGTTTGAAAGTGTTACTTAAAGTCAAATAAATTTAAAAAAAAAGTACTCACATCCGATTATTTCTATTTTTATCCGTAACAAAACAGTCCATCATCCTTCATGCTGGACCAAAAGAATTATAAGCCCAACATATACAGAGCCCATATTTACTACCATTGCCAACTCCGTTTATTTTTTAACGTCGTTGATTTGATCCCAGTCCGTTAACCAACTCCCGACTCGAAAAACTTTCCACCGTATCCATGGCCCGTGTGACACGATCTCCTAATTTTCTTCGGTTTCGTCTTCCTTCTTCGAAAACCATAAATTTACACTCCCATTGCATCCCAACAAATATCTCATCAATTCACACCCAAAACCCCAAATTCCACCTTCCAATCCAAAAACCTAATTCTATATTTTGAAGAAAACGTCACACAGATCATCGTAAAACCATAAATTTCTAGATGTTTTTCGAGTTACATACCCTAATCATCTGATAATTCGCTTTCAAACCTCTTTTTTTTTTCCAAATTATATTGAATTTATGGTTCTATGGATTACAAAGACGAGGATTCATCAATGGAAATATATAACACTGGAAATTCAAGTGTGTATCGACTCATGAACGGGCCATTGTCGGGAGGTTGGTTGGAAATTCGCTTATTTTACGTCCGTATATCGCCGTGCGTGGTTCACACCGTTCCCGACCACCTCACGCTTCGCCATCTCCGTCGTGAAATCGGAGTCTCCCTTGAAATCAATGGCTCAGGTATCCCGGCCTCGAACACAGCTTCAATGACTCTCCGGCGCGATCGTGTCGATAAGGAGTCCTCGGAGGTGACATATGTGAGTACGGACAGTGTTAGGGTTTCTGGGGCTGTCGAATTTGAGGTGCATGAGGATGAATTGATTTTGTGTGGGTCATTGGAGAGAATGGAGCCCAATTGGTGCAATGGGAGTGTAGAGGGTGGTTCCAAGACGGGGTGGACAATGGACTGTTACACTGCGGCGACGATTGCAAGTGGTTCGTCGGCGTTTTTTCAGCCAAAATTGGGCGTTTGTTCGCCGTCTATTGAGGTTTATATTGCCGGGTGTTGCTCAGGAGTGCCTGTGATTTTGACGAAGACAATTCTGGTTAGTCCGAGGAGGAAAGTGACGAGGCAGTGGATGCTAGATTCTATTCCGGAGGATGAAGAGATTGGGAAAGAGCAGAGTAGTGAAAGTGGTTTGGTCAGGCGGAAAATGCGGGTAATGTTTCCATGTCGGTGAATTTGGTTTGATTTTCTTGTTATATGTTTGTTTTTTACTGAATTGGTGTGTGTGTGTGTGTGTGAGCTCTTTATATTGAGCTTGTTGCATGCTAATTTTTCTGGGCAAGTGATTGTCTTTTGGATGAATTAGCAATGGGATTGTTTATTTTAGATTAGATGTCTAGTCCCTTTTTCTCAGGCAGGGAAACATGATTCAAATCTTAGGCACTTTTCACATAAAGCTGATTGATGCAAAATTTTCATGTAGTGTTTGTTGATTTGCCAACTCACATCATAAGGCCCGAGGAAAATTTGGGCAAGTGCTTAAGAAATTGAGTATGAGTGGAGGATTTTGGGTTATTTTTGTTTCCAATGATGGAGATGTAGCTACATGAGAGTCATACCAGTTTGATATACTAATTACATAAGGCTGACTTTGAGTTTTTATTGTTTTGCAATTGTTTGGCTTCAGCCAACTAGGCATATCGAGGAAGAAGTGTCTTGCTTTAGTTGTTTGTTAATGATGATGTTTTAGCTACAAATTTTGGGGTAAGTATATATGGTAGCCTACATTTGGGTTTAAATCAATAAGTATCACAGTAGTTGTAGATTAGTAGGTAATAATATGTGGAATTTGATTTAAGTGGATAATCCAAGATAATGAAGAGGGCCATGCTTGGAGATGATGTTATCCTATACAGCTATACAAATTCAAAGTAGGATTAGTTGGAGTGCTTTTAGACTACTGTGTTTATGTACAACTGGATACTAAAACTCAGTGAATCTTATGAAAAGAGAAGGCCAATTTTTTCAGCCATGCTTTGTTGTGAGAGGTTGGGCTAATTGAGGTAGATAGACATGAAATTAGCTGTGGTAAAGGCTTTTCATACATGAGTTGCAGCTGAGATGTTAGAGTCATAGCTGGTAGGAACTGCAAAAAAAAATTGGAGGCACAGCTGTTGAGAAGTGTAGTGGATTCAATTGAAAAATACATTACTAGATCATTGAAAGAATAAAAAGATGCATCTGCTTGACAAATTATTGTGATTTCAGAGATATAGTGTAACTTTATGTGTAGTGGAACCAAGAAAAATTTACTAGCAGGGTTTACGGTAGATAAGAATTTGTTTATTTGAGTTGAGTTGCTGATTGTATCAAAAATGATGAGTGCAGAAAACTAGTAATTATAATTAAAAATAGATTACACCAATTAAAATCTGAGAGCTTAGAAAAAATGGAGTTCAGGGATGGCTGAGTGACTTAAAGACATGACTTTAGAAGTTTAATAAATACACAGTGGCTTCAAACCAAGTTTTTTTCTTGCTAAATTTTTATTTTGGATTTCCAGTATGCTAATATAAGTTGAATTTGGGTCATCATTTCTATTATTCACACCAGGTTTTAAACTTGGTTTACAATTAGGCATTATAGTCAAGTTGAAACTGGATATTGGTATTGGTGTGCTTATATTATTGTTGTGTGTGCATCTAAAATACAAAAGACTGCTTGTCACACTAATGATTTTGGTACTAGTTCAATTTATTTTAAAGCATGATAACAACATAGATTGATTCAATGAGTGAGATTTTTCTATGCCAGATAAATCAACACTTAACTAGCATAAGTGTGGGCCAACAGCCAAAAAGTTCACCTTTCTTTGAAACAAAAGCTAGACCATCATAATATCTATCCGCAATTGATTTATATTTGAAATACCTCTTTTGAAATTCAGAAGATCATGAAATACATTTTCTTGTCATCGAGGAGGGTTCTTTTACTTTCATTGGTTCTATGAGCTTCTTTGACAATAAAAGCACAAGCCCACCTCCACTCCCATGCGCGTGCACGTCTCCTCTCTCTCGTGCACACATTTATCTCTCATCTTTGTTTAGTAATTACAAAGGAAAGGGGTATATAAACACTTGTAAGAAAACCTTGAATTGGTACCCATAAATTCTAATATTAAATCCTATGTGTAGAGGTGATAATGAGAGCATGAACCACTTAGTTTTGCATTTTCCTTTGGCACGAGCATTATGGAATAGGCTTTTTGACTTTATGGGTTTTGCATGGGTTGCTCCAAGAAGTATGAAATTTATGTTTTGTTTGGATGATGTGGGTTGTGAAGGAAATACTAAATGGAAGACCATTGGTATAGTGCTTTCTTTGTTACATTATGGGTGATTTCGAAAGAAAGAAATGTGAGGATTTTCGAGAACAAATGTGAAGATTTTGAGGGCTTTGGGAAAGGATTCATTTTTTGCCTCTTTTTGAGCCTCAATGTCTAAGGACTTTCAAGATAGTCCTCTCATTTGTATTAGAATAAGGTGGAAAGCATTTTGCGGGTTGTTGTTTTGATTATTTCTTATGTTGCCATTGGCCTGTATTGTGTTGGATTTCTTGTCCACACTGGATGTAGTTTTTTTTTGTTTGTAATTTTCGCCTTTATTTATCAATAATATGTTGTCTCTTAACGAAAAATATTTCATCCTTAGTAACTAATGTTTATATTCATTGTGATCCCTTTTGGGGCTTGTGCAGATCTCAGAGGCAGATGTTGACGACTATGAGTCAGATGGAAAAGTTGGACACGGCTATTATGCTGAAGACATGTACCCTGGTGAGGATGGCCAACTCTCATGGTTCAATGCTGGTGTAAGAGTTGGGGTGGGGATTGGCCTTGGAATGTGCCTTGGTGTTGGAATTGGTGTTGGACTGCTCATGCGCTCGTATCAAGCAACCACCAGGAATTTTAGGAGGAGGTTCTTCTGAATCTGATCTCTTCAATTAAAGTCACATAGTACTGGCTAAATGATACAGAATTGAAAACGGAAAGTTTTGGAATTTTTATTTAGAGAGAAGGATTTTACTATTTTAGGATGGCAGCTAATGAAGTGAGAAGTACATATTTAAGGATTTTAACAGTAGACTGCGGGTGGAAGGTTGGACAATGTCTAGGGTCACCTGAGATGTTGCTCTAATGGAAGTTGCAATGGTCTTCTATCTTATACCTATAACTGAGTGGTGGTACAGCGAAAAATATGGTTATATACAAGTCTCATGATAATTCTACGATCAATTTATATGGCTGTGCCTGGGAGAAAAGACGTATCTGATGTTTAGCGTTATGTAGATATTTTGCCTTGTTTGAAGTTTCTTTGGAGGTTTATACCATGGTGGTTGTTGTAGGACTTGTAACACTTTCTTTTTGTTTTTTCCTCTCAAATTTCTTTCTTGGTTTTTGTTTGCTTCTTTTTTACCATGTATCAACTTTTTGATGTTTTGCATTCTTCCATTACTTTGATTGTTGCAATAAGTTGCATTTGTTCAATAAGAAGAATACATGTTACAACTCCTGGATTTAGTTCTGTCGTTCTTTTCATATTGTTCTTAGACACTTTTGGGCCATTCCAGGAGATTCTCTCTTCCTGAAGATGGTACTTCTTCACTCGTCAAAACTTAGAGAGAAAGAGGAACTTCTTGGAAGTTTTATGGTAACAGCAGTATTTGTGCCAGAGTTTTTGTTACAGCAAAGTATTAGTCTTTCTCGTTGGCTATATTTCAGGTCCTACAACACGATCCATTCATTTTGGTGGATATAATTTTCAGTCATCTCTGAACTTATGTTCTGCAGCTGAATAGTGTATGATTTGTAACATAATTAGCAACCCAGGAGCTCATTTGAGATCTGATAAGTTTTGTTGTCAGCTTCTAGTGCGGCCCTCCTCTTTTAACCCGGCTTGGACCGGTTACATAGTTATTTCATGAATCTGTTATTAGGGCACTGTCTGCAGCAGACCTTGTAGTTTTGAACTTCCCTCAGCATAACCATATTATGCACTTTGTAATTTCTATAGAATTCAGACATGAAGCTCATTGCTGGTCCATCCACTTGGTTTTTAACAGTTTTTTCTACCCTGGCCTCTCTATCTTTCTCTCTGGAACAAAGCTATTAATTTGAAATGTGTCTTAATCTACATCCTTGCTTGAGAATAGTCAATGAATATACATCTCTCTCACCTGGCCTCCAAGTTACCACTGTAAGCATTCCTAACACTTCAGAGCTTCCCACTATTATGCCTGGACACCGTCTTAGGAGGGTCAGGTTTTGGTACAAAGGTAAGATTGTTTCCTTGTGTTTTAAACATCAAATATTTGAGTCTTATAAATAGCTTCCTCTACACAGGCTAAGACTGAGTCTAACATTTCTTAAATTTTTTTCTTTAGCATTTAAAGTAAAAATCAAGCACATTATCCATGAGAAAGTTCCAAGCCCTAATCATTCTACTCTGTGGACAGTATATTAACAATTATATGCATTGCCATAATGACACTAGAAGTATTTTGTTTTTGTGCCAATAGAGAACATTGGTGCAAGCAAGCAACTATGGATCTAAAGGGTGGGCAGGATAACAAATCCCAATATTCAAAAATATTAATATTAAAAGTTACTTTTGATTATATAGATTTTACCCTGCAAATATATATATGTTTTTTATATCCTCAACTCTTTGAAACACTCATCAAAAGAGTTTGGTTCTGTCATTGGGTAAAAGAATAACTCTATCTCGAAGAGTTAATATCATATAATGTTTTGCTGATCTAAAATTGTTGAAGATGTAAATAAATCTTGCCCAGTAAAAATAGGAACTTAGATATTATCGATTAGTATTCTTCTTAGAACATGCAACACATAATTATCAGTACCATAAAAGTTACCAACACCTTGGGAAACCTTTTGGCCCAACTTTAAATGGGAAATAGTATAAAGAACCCAACTTTTTTTTGAACTAAACTCCAACCCCAAATTTAAAAAATTAATGTTCAGTGCATCTCCAAACCTTACTCAAATTTAAAATTATATTTAAATTTAAGTAAAAAAGTTAAAAAACTTACTCTAACCCTCGACTCAAATATATACCAAATGAGGGAAACTCATTTTTTTATTCAAATAAAGAGAAATTCAAATTTTTATTTAAATTTTTAATTGTGAGATTTTACCGTCTTTTAAAGATCCAATGATCATCCTTATTGTCTTTTAAATTTAAATTTGTTCTCATTTAAATTTGAATCTCTCATTCTTTATATATGAGATTATTAATTAGAGTCTTTTATATCAAATTAAATTTTTTATTCAAATATTAATTTAAATTTGAATAAAAATTTGAGTCAACGTTGCTCTTGTAAAGATTTGGTGGACATAAGAGAAATTAAGTATTCTTCAAGGACATTTATGGGAAAGAGAGAACGATAGTAGATAGCACAGAGAGGGAGATGACTAGGGTCTCAGTGAAAGCCCGAAAGGACGTTTCAGCCTCTGGAACCTCAAAACACCACAACCACTGTGAAAGAGAGAAGAAGACGATGAATGTGAAGAGGGACAGAGACTCGAGTAGTACATCCAGATCTCATGCGACAATGCCCCACCATAATAATCCTACACCTTCGTCTCTCCCTGTGGTGGTAACTCTCAATTGCATCGAGGACCCAACCCCAGAGCAAGACTGCCTTGCTGGAATTGCAGTGGTCGAACACGTCCCACTGAGTCGACTCACGGAGTCACGAATCGAGTCAGCCGCCGCCGTGTGTCTCCACTCGCTAGCCTTCCTCCCACGCGCCGCCCAGCGCCGCCTCAAGCCATGGCAGCTTATCCTGTGTCTTGGCTCATCTGATCGCGCCGTTGACTCCGCCCTCGCTTCTGACCTCGGACTCAGCCGCCTAGTCCACGTCGATGTTAGCCGAGCTGAGGAGGTGGCCGATACCGTCATGGCTTTGTTCCTTGGATTGCTTCGACGGACTCATTTGCTATCACGCCATGCGCTATCGGCTTCGGGATGGCTCGGATCGGTTCAGCCGCTGTGTCGGGGGATGAGACGGTGTAGAGGGCTTGTGTTGGGGATTATTGGTAGATCTGCGTCTGCGAGGTCTTTGGCTACTCGGAGCTTGGCTTTCAAGATGAGTGTGCTCTATTTCGATGTTCGCGAGGTACAATCTCGATAAACCCTACAGATTTAGTGCTACATTCAGTTGATTCTTTACTAAAATGTGGGTAATTTATTTAATTGATTGGCATTCCACTAACTGAAATGTGATTAGTCATGCGCACAAACAAGTCATGGTGGAGCGATTTATCACTACATTCTACAGTTTCATAGTTACCGTGTGAAGTCAGTACGATCGAACAATCTAATGCTACTTCTAGTCAATCTTAACTAAATTATATGCCATTAGCTCCAGTGTGAGTCAGCTTTTGACAATCCGCGTTGGTGTTTCAGCTTCAAAAAATTCATGTGATGTGCTCTATTTTAGTGTTTTCTGGTAATTGCGGACCAGAATGTTTGCTTTTTTATTTTTCTGCATTAACTATTGGAGATACAGAATCAACAGATTAGATATGAAATTACTATAACTAATTTGAAAAGATATTTGAGAAGTGAACAAATCGGTTATAATCATAGATGTAGCATGCCCTTTAGTTGGGATGAGTCATATAACATCATGTGGAAGGGGGTGAGATTTTGGGAAGAAAGGAATAGTGATGGGAAGGCAGTTGTTTTTCTTAATAATCCACGTTTTTATTTTCATTGTGCTCTATTACAAAAACCAAAAGGATCCTTAGTTTGGTTTGCTTGTTACAGGTTTGACATCGCAGCCGAAATGGCATGAACAAGCCAAAATTGATAGAGGTGTGAAATCAGGGGTCATTTCTTGCCTGGCTGATGTCATACTTTCTTTTCTTAACATAGAATAAATTTGATAACTGCTGCTGAAGCATAGAACATGAAGAACATAAATTCCTATATATTAGAATGAAATTTTTGCTTTAAGAATCATGAACGAAAACTAGTTGCATACTTTCATTTTCGAATTGATAGTATCGATAAGCTTTGTGAATATGTATGAGTTATCACCTTTATTCATTATACGCTGATAGGAAAATGCCCTGCCCCCGTTTCAGCTTTTGATAAATATTTCATATCACGTGCTTTATCCTGATTATTCTCTTCTGAATTACATCTCACAGGGAAATGGAAAAGTAAGTAGATCTTCCACAACATTCCCTCCTGCTGCTCGAAGAATGGATACTCTTAATGATTTACTGGCTGCAAGTGATCTTGTCTCACTCCATTGTGCCCTGACAAATGAAACTATTCAGATTATCAACGCAGATTGTTTGCAGCACATAAAGCCTGGTGGTTATTTAATTTTATATTGTTCTTCAGATAAAAATTTCAAAAGAGGAAGTTTTGGGGTTCCTCCTATTTGCACTTAAGAAATGACTTTTTGTACAGGGGCATTTCTTGTAAATACCGGCAGCAGTCAGCTACTGGATGATTGTGCTGTAAAGCAGCTTCTGATTGATGGCACCCTAGCAGGCTGTGCTCTAGATGGTGCTGAAGGGCCACAATGGATGGAAGCATGGGTATGATGAGTAGTCTTAGGGTATGAGTATATGATATGGAATGTTTGTCACTTTGTTGAGCATAGTTGTTTTTCAGTGTCAATTCTTTTTCATGATTTATGTGGTTCTGCATGTATGCTTGGTGGATAATGTTCGTTAAACATTGCTCGTTTCTTCTTCTTTTTTTTTTCCTCTTGTTTTGGTCATTTTTTAATTTGGTTTTTGTTTTTTGCTACCCCATGCCCCAGGGGGAGGTGGGATTTCCTCATATGGCATTCAATGGTATACTTCACTATAAGATTTTGCAAAATGGTTGTTTAATTTTCTTTCAACCTCTATCCTACATGAAACTAACATGGGTAGTCCACATTTGGTTGTGCATTACAGCCATTCAGTGACTTCTAACTCCAAGTTTGAATTAGTGCACCTATAATGTCAGTAAAGGACCCTGCAATAAATTAATTTTATACCCCAGTACCTGAACCTTTTTGGTTTTTATTTTCGTCTTAGAGTGGAGATCTGGTTTTGTTTTTGTACTGGTGTCGTCTGACTTCTACTTCATTGTATCTATTTTATATGGGAGGATTAGGTTACTTTGTTGGTACTTTGATAGAATGTCAATAAAAACGAAGAAAAGATGAATTGCATGACTTGTTGAGAGCTTGACTGGCCAAATGACATAATTGAATGTGATTTTACTGGCTACCTTTAGAAACTTGAAATAATTGAAAGGAGTTAACAAGGAATGATAGAGGAAAATTTTTTCTCTTCCTTTTCATTTCTTGTTGTGAAGGGATAGGGAGTGGCATCAAGACTGAATTGGAATCTTTAGTGTTAGGTACTCTAGCTCAAGAGAAGCATTCAGTTTGATACTTATTATCACAGTTGAAGACTTTTGTTTTACTGTCATCTCTTGTATCCTAAAAGGAGGGTATTCCTTTTAATGTTAATACATGTGATAAAGGAAGTGGTTGGTTTGTTTAAAATGTTGTTATGCTCTTTATTGTGTTAGTAATCGCAATGGTCGATTTTCTGGCGGGTGGAGATATAAAGAGAGCCTCAGTTTTGCCATTGAGGCCTTCCACTTTTAATGGTGCTATAGTTATGTGCTTATATATTGTTCCTTTACCTTCTATTTTAACTTATTACTCATTTGGTGGAAACTGCTTCATGTCCTTTTTTTATTGTTTATGTTTTCATTTCTTATCAAGGATCGTTTTGTTAAATGGGTAGTGAAATAATTACGCTAACCTTTTTCTTACAAATTTGTCTTGGTCAATTAATCAAAATTGTGACCATTTTAGGGCATGTTATTATATGTTTTTTATATACCTTATTTTTTTCTCAATTTGCTTTAACATACTTGAGATTTCTGGTAGTGTATTAGCAAAGACTATAACATAAATGTGAACCTCACATGTATTGCTTTAACATACTCGCACAACAGCACATGTATGATTAATGACATGCTTAGAGAAGAGAAGAAACACCACCAGATGGTAAATATTAATCGATAAGATGTGTGATGGGATATATAGAAAGATAATGTGCTGGGTTTTAGGGAGAAGGATTGCTAATTAGAGATGCTGATTAAATCAACCACATTCTGAGCTGCGACTCTTGAAGAGTGTGGAAAAAACTCGAGACAAGCCAGTTTCCTGGATCAGTACACTTCAATCAAGGTTTGTATCAGGAAACTGTATGGCATGCTTGTGAAGAGGTCACATGGTGTATTTACTTTATAATGATATAGTTGTGATCTGTGTCTGTATAAATAAGAATTCAAAGATTTTGGGATCAAAAAACTAAGTTAAATAGAATTTTGTTGAGTGATAGGAAATACCCTATGGAAGAACGCCAATAATTAGACAAGGTAAAACTGAATTTGCATGGTTTTCATACATCTCATAAATCAAATCTCATGTATGTCCACCACCAGTGCGAAGTGAAATTTGTATGTGTTGAATACCATATATCAGCTTTTGTATTTATTGAAGTCTTGTGAATGTGGATATCATATGGCAAGAAGTCTAGGGCTTGTAATAATTCTTTTGATGGCACTAATTTTTCGTATCTTGACTTTACTTCAGGTAAGGGAGATGCCCAATGTATTACTACTTCCCCACAGTGCAGATTACAGTGAAGAAGTGTGGATGGAGATAAGAGAAAAAGCTATTTCTACATTGCAGACATTCTTGTTGGACGGTGTTATTCCAAAGAATGCTGTTTCTGATGAAGAAGAAGAGGAAAGTGAAATAGGGTATGAAAATGAACAAGAAGAAAAAGAAGAAAACGAAAGTGCCTTGCAGGTTTCTGTTGGTGAGCAATTGACAGATGATGTCCATGTGACTATGGAGGGCTCCCAGAAAAAGATTATTAGTCGATCAAAGGAGTCTCCTAGCCAGCATCAGGGATCAGCTTTGTCACAAAATACTTCCTCTTGGTCTGAAGTAAAGCGCAGTAGGTCAGGAAAGAAGGCTAAAAGGAGGCATGCCCGTCAAAAGTCCCTGCACAAATCAGATGATCCTTCTACCATAGAAAAAGAGGGTACATCACATCGAGAAGATGATACTGCAATGAGTGGCACAGATCAAGTATTGAGCTCCAGTTCACGTTTTGCTTCGCCTGAAGATTCAAGGAGTAGAAAAACACCAGTTGAATCAATACAAGAATCATCATCTGATCATCTTATAAAATCAAGCATGGCGCTCAGTATAAGGTCAGGAGAACTGCTGAAGGATGGTTATATCATAGCTTTGCATGCAAGAGATCGTCCTGCACTTCATGTCTCGAGGCAAAGAGCTCAAGGCGGTGGTTGGTTTCTTGACTCGATATCGAACATAACAAAAAGAGATCCAGCAGCACAGTTCCTTGTTGTTTTCAGAAGCAAGGTTTGTGGGCAGAACTTCTTTCTTTTTGATTGGGTCCACTAGCCCCTTTTTTAAAAAAAAATTATTGACCAGTAGCATTTGAAGTTTTAACTATATTACTTATATGTCTGTAGGATACAATTGGTTTGAGATCTTTCACTGCTGGTGGAAAGTTACTGCAGGTATCTTTTTTTTACTAGTTCATGCATATATATTGTATAGACATATACTAGCGGTATCTCATGCAATGACACTCAACAATCCATGGTGTACCTATGTGAAATATATCCACTATAAAAGCTATTTAACTCCTCTCCGCGCCCACTCTGATACCCTCACCAGCCACCGCCCAAACACCTCAACACCCCCTACATACTCCACATACATTTCAATGTCCAAAAAAAAAAGAAGCTAAAATAACAGCATAGACTAAGCTATTGTAATTTTCAGTTTCTTTCAGTTACATCTACTAAATACTCTAAGCAAATTCTTAAAAAACAACGTTTAGTTATAAGATTGGGCTTAGAGGGGCAAAAAGTCAATAAAGAGTCGAAAGATCAAACCCACACCAATATCACCAGAATACAAAATATGTATTATTTGGACTAAATCAAATAGAAAATAAACATCTTGGTGCATAAGGAATGGTTGAAAGATCAGGTCTTTGCAGAAAACAGTTGTACCTTCCAACACTAACTTTCCAAAAGAAAAAAAAGTTGCTAAAAGAAAAAGTGGGGACATGGTATGCACAGAGGAGAGTCAAAGCTTTGGTAACATTCAAGGTGACATTCAATTTGAGCACTATTAAATCCTCACAGAGACACTTGGTGTCAGTCTTCAGCCAAGAACAACACGATTAGGCTTATTCACATTGCTCTTGAAGCCTTAAGAGTGACACTCTGCTGCATAGCAGTTAACTTGAGAGAATTACGGAACAATCTTCTGAATTACTTAAAAATATGAGTTAAAAAAAATAAGAAATCCTTTACCCGCCAGAGTCTTTAGACCAACAATGATGAGAAAAATAAGAAATCCCTTACACAATAGAGTCTTGCTGATTGGAATGGAGGAAGCAGTCCCTTGACTCAGTCGGGAGTTGCCGAAGGAGAGTGGGACGGAGGGAGATGGAGGTATTAAGATAAATTAGGAGCAGTAATCCTAGTTATAGATAAATTAGGAGGTAGTGCGGTGATTACGGGCAGTTATCAAACTTGAGGAGAAATCCTAGTAATGGGTAAATTAGGATTGAGAAATGGACCAATAGAAGTGCACCAAGTAAGAGTTTACATAATTAAAACCATCAAAAAATTTAGGAATTTGGGATATTGATGTGGGTTATTGGGTTGTAACCACCAAAGAATTAATTAAGCTCAAATAATTGATTTTTTGAACCAATAAGATAATGCCACATATGTTTTTAGTAAATTGAAAAAATCAGAAATTCCAGAATTTAGAAATGATGTTTTGGATGCTTCTAATTGTCACTTCATTTGTATCTATATATAGATAGATGCATACATCTGTGATACATTTTGTTGAGTAGTGTTCTCTATTCGAAAGGTGAGTTGCAAGTTCTTTACTCTTTATTATTTTGTTTGGTGAGGGGAGAGGATTCTTTACCGTCCATCACACCCTTCACAGGCAATCTTGATTGAAAACCAGGAGTTGGAGGAATGAATTTTGGTTTTTTTAATGATGTCCATATTGTAATAGAGGCTGTTTAAGCACTCTGGCTATATTTGTGTTAATCAACAAATTTCTCTTGCTAAATGTTTCTGGATTAGTTAGTTTTCGGAATCAAATGGGTAGATGCAATTAAATACCAGAACATGGTATCGGCTTACTTTTTTAGCTTGTTGGAGGAAAACAAAAAGGAGACACCCCAATTAACTAGTTCAACTTGTCACTACACTTGTAGGTTATGTCTATGAGCTTCTGGCATGATTGAACTGTGAATGTCAGTTGCTTTTTTTGTAGTATCTTCTAAGTAGTATTGTGTAATTAATCAGCAGTTTTCAGCTATTCTTTTCATAGGATGTTGCATGAACATTGATGGGAGTAACATTAATGAAGCTCCCACTCCCACTGGCTAAATATGCCACTTCTATTTTAATATTGCAGATAAATAGAAGAATGGAATTTGTATTTGCTAGTCATAGCTTTGATGTCTGGGAGAGTTGGACATTTGAAGGTTCTTTTGAGGAATGTAGGCTGGTCAATTGCAGAAATCCATTGGTAAGTTCTTTCCTTTGCTCTATCCAATTGCATGTGACGTAATTGAGATATTAATCTTCGCTAAAGCTGAATTTTTAGTTCCTCTATCTGTATATAACCGTGCAAGTAAGCATTATGCAGTTGCTTGCCCGTGCATATGTCGTCATATGCATTAATATGCATAAACATTAAATACATATCTGTTTTGTATAATATAGACTAGTTCTGAAATTGTTTCGGTGATTTGCTCTGCTACTAGAGCTTCTCTTTGAGACAAACCAACTAGCACTAGAAATATTGCTTTACTATGCAGCTTAAAAGGAGTTGGAGGAAATTAGAAATTTATGAGACAGATGAATGGTTTTGGTTTTATTTTGGGGATTGTCCATTAAATAAAAATAACAATGATGTTAGGGATGAACATTATGTTGTTGTGATCCAATATGGACAACCTCATCTTGAATATGGAATTTTTTTTTTTTAAATTTTGAAAGATTAGAAGCTGTCTTTAATCCAAAATCCGAACTTCACAGGAACCAGAACAAGGGTGGGATGAGAAAGTCTCTCTTGGTTAGACCTAAAAATGGCAGAATTGCCACCTGTTGTAGGAAAGAGTTGTAGTTTTGGTCAATGCTAAACTCTTGTGAACTGGAACTTATGTATATGTATGTACAGATGTGTTTGTAAGATAATGGGCTGTAAAACCAATGGTTTGTAAATGGAGCTCGTGTTCTAGAACCAAGGGTTTTGACCAACAAATAAAATGAAACAGGTTGTTGTTTCTCTAAGTAGAAAACCCTATCCTCTCCATGTGGAAACCTTTAGTGTGGTATTTCCTTTCCACTTCACAGCATACCAAATTAAATTAAAGTGACTTTCACAATATGAAGCAATGCTTCTACTTCTTGGTGAAATAGTTTCAGAACAAAAGAAGTAACTCCATCCTTGCCCTACTTGCATTTTTTGGGCCTTTTTTAGCTTGTTTAGTTGTTGCTCGGAGCAGCTGACCTCAAATGATTGGGACGCAAGGCTTGGCTTGGTTTGGTTTAGTTGTTGTTTAGAGCATAGAGTATCTTATATAATTGATTAAAGTGGTTATATATCATTGAGTTATTCTACTTCCTTTTTTTTTTCATAACAAACCAAACCTCTTAATAAGAGTAAATGATACAAGAATAGGTGGATATGGAATCAACCCATTTGTTGGACAAAGAGGAAGGAAAAGCTTAAAACTATAATAAAAATAAGAAACCAAACTACATGAAACCATCTTTAGCGACAAGCAGCAATCCAATCTTAATCAACAACAAAGAAATGGGTCATCCAAGAATGTTTTAGGGATCTTGTTATGAATGAAATTAGCCCATAAATAACATTTGAAGTGGATCACTGCCTACCTGAAATTTAATGTGCTCTCTCTCTCTCTCTCTCAAACTTGCTTCCACTGATGCAAATTGCAGGCTGTCTTGGATGTACGCATTGAAATCCTTGCAGCTGTTGGTGAAGATGACGGGGTTACACGCTGGCTTGATTAGTTGTGAACATGGAAAAATTAACGCCGCATTTGTAATATTCCGGAAGAGCTTTGGATTTGTATACCATTCAATTTTCACACTGAACATCAGTGTGTTGTGTGTTGTGTGTTGTGTTGTGGATTAGCTNTTGGATTTGTATACCATTCAATTTTCACACTGAACATCAGTGTGTTGTGTGTTGTGTTGTGGATTAGCCGACCTCACAGGTGAAATTGTTGTATTTTGTTATTTATTGGAGATGTCCCATGGTTTATCAAAAATTTGGGTGTTTTTTTTTGGCAATAGAGTTTTGACAGGAAAGCTCCCTTTAGTGGCAAGCACTTGTGCTTGGGCCAGCCTTCTGTTTCTGTGTATATTTATAAATAGGATAAATTTCATTCACGGCTTAATTTTGGCGACTCTCCTTCCTAATTGTAAAATTTCATTGGCGACTCTCCTTCCTTCCTAATTTAATTTTGTTGCATTGTGTCTGGTAACGAACCTAACAAAAAAGCTTATTTTACCACTTTACTTGCAATAAAATGTTAATTTGATACAATAGAAAGTTAATTTGGTATTAAATTGAAGAAATAATATTACATTAAATGTTCACATTCAATGATCGAGATTGAAATGTCAAATCATATTAACATAAAAAACAAAGAGAAAAAACATCAACAACTAAGATGCCCTATACCACATCCATTGCCTCAGGTTACTAGACCTTTATTTGTTTTGAATTTGGTGCTAATTTTTAGAGATGATAACAAATTAAAAACGCCTACATTGAATCATTTAAGGAGATTATGACAATTTGGTTTGTATTTATTTCACTTTCATTTTAGATTATTAGGTACTCTATACGTGCATTCCACGTGAATTATGTGAGTTATAAAAACAAATATATTTGAAAAAAAAAATTATAAGTTTTTGTANTAAGGAGATTATGACAATTTGGTTTGTATTTATTTCACTTTCATTTTAGATTATTAGGTACTCTATACGTGCATTACACGTGAATTATGTGAGTTATAAAAACAAATATATTTGAAAAAAAATTTTATAAGTTTTTGTTTTTTTATTTTGTTGTAAGATGTCTATATAAATTAAAGGGAACTATAAAAACAAATATATTTGAGAAAATAGTTTATAAAATGTATTTGTCATTCCTGACTTTAAATTTAAATATTCTTAGACGACCTTATATATTTTTTCATATAGATTGTGTTTTTTGTGTTTTTAAGAAATATATATACACTGCAATATAAAAGTGCTCNTATTTGTCATTCCTGACTTTAAATTTAAATATTCTTAGACGACCTTATATATTTTTTCATATAGATTGTGCTTTTTGTGTTTTTAAGAAATATATATACACTGCAATATAAAAGTGCTCTTTTAATATTGACTAGATTAACTCTTCAAAAATTAGTGTGGTGACGCTCTTTTTTCATGGTTTGGGTATTCTAATGCTTATTTGGCTTCGATATGTTTTCCGATGTGTCGTCAAACTCCTATCTTGTGATGTGGCTAATTCNGTGGTGACGCTCTTTTTTCATGGTTTGGGTATTCTAATGCTTATTTGGCTTCGATATATTTTCCGATGTGTCGTCAAACTCCTATCTTGTGATGTGGCTAATTCGTGGAGGCCCAACTAAAACTTATGGTTCCTTCGGTCTATTAATCATTATCAAGATTTTTTAACTTTTTCTAAATGTTACAACTACAATTATCAATTTTCATATACACGAATATACAGAGAGGAAAGAGAGACATCTATCCTATGCAGTGAATATGATATAGGGTCCTGAAATGGCTTTTTTTTGTCAGAGCAGTAGTTTTATAAATTGCAAGGATGGTTGTCTTATCAATGCAGGAGATTAATGTTACGATACAATCACAAATATATATTTGCCATGACATATTGCAAGTAGAATTACAAAAATAAAATTGAACAANCCTGAAATGGCTTTTTTTTGTCAGAGCAGTAGTTTTATAAATTGCAAGGATGGTTGTTTTATCAATGCAGGAGATTAATGTTACGATACAATCACAAATATATTTTGCCACGACATATTGCAAGTAGAATTACAAAAATAAAATTGAACAACATACAATGTGAAGTGTTGAACACCAGTCAAGCCTCGCACCATATACTAAAATACTACAAACACATGACACCACTCACAAAGGAAAAATACTATAGGGTTGAAGACATTTTTGATACTATATTAAAAAATAATTTGAATTCATAGATCTTTATCTAATATATTTATAGCCAATAATTGTAAAAATAATAAAATAAAAAATTATACGTGTCAATTTCTTATTGCACTATGGTTTTAGTATCCAAATTAGACCCCTCTCAAATATAGCTAACACTTGCACACTCCTTACAGTCCACACTTGCAACACATGAGGAAACCACTTGTTTTCTTCTGTGGCACTGCTTGTCAATTTTTAGTGTCTATGAAAGGTTTTTTGTTCATTCCTTCTCCTCAATAATATTATTGGTCTCCTGGGGCTCTTTGGCGCCGAATTGCCTTGTTGTTGGATGTGGTAGAACCCNTTTTCTTCTGTGGCACTGCTTGTCAATTTTTAGTGTCTATGAAAGGTTTTTTGTTCATTCCTTCTCCTCAATAATATTATTGGTCTCCTGGGGCTCTTTGGCGCCGAATTGCCTTGTTGTTGGATGGGGTATTGTCTTGCACATGTTCTTCTTTAGATTTCGACTTGTTATATTATGTTTCTCTTTCTAATGACGATCAAATTTCCTCTTCTTCTTTAATTTTTCTGAACAGGCCACCCCAAAGAAAGAATACAACTAAAGTTTTGACCTAAGATTTGTGTTCACTACTCAATGGCGAGGGACTTATATTTTTATATTTTCATGTTACGAAGAGTTGAAGAATTTTAATTGTTTTAGGGACTTTTGGGATTCTAGTAATATCAATATAGAGTTGAAGAGTTTTAATTGTTTTAACGATNTCTGAACAGGCCACCCCAAAGAAAGAATACAACTAAAGTTTTGACCTAAGATTTGTGCTCACTACTCAATGGCGAGGGACTTATATTTTTATATTTTCCAGTGACGAAGAGTTGAAGAATTTTAATTGTTTTAGGGACTTTTGGGGTTCTAGTAATATCAATATAGAGTTGAAGAGTTTTAATTGTTTTTACGACNCGAAGAGTTGAAGAATTTTAATTGTTTTAGGGACTTTTGGGATTCTAGTAATATCAATATAGAGTTGAAGAGTTTTAATTGTTTTAACGATTTTTGGGATTCTAATAATATCAAACAGTAAACTGTTTTAATTAGACTTCTAAAAGCGATGCTCTTACAGGTCATGATCTTACCATCTTCTCGGATTTCCCAAAAGAATAGGAGATGCTGTGAGTGAGTTTCAATGATAGNGGATTCTAGTAATATCAATATAGAGTTGAAGAGTTTTAATTGTTTTTACGACTTTTGGGATTCTAATAATATCAAACAGTAAACTGTTTTAATTAGACTTCTAAAAGCGATGCTCTTACAGGTCATGATCTTACTATCTTCTCGGATTTCCCAAAAGAATAGGAGATGTTGTGAGTGAGTTTCAATGATAGAGAGAAGATACCATCAAATTGGGAGATTTATAAGGGGAGACTTCATAAATTAATGCTCTTTGTCTTGTTATTTCACTTTTTACATTGACTATAATTTAATTTGATGGAAATTAAAATGTAAAATGATAGTTTTGTGANGCTGTGAGTGAGTTTCAATGATAGAGAGAAGATACCATCAAATTGGGAGATTTATAAGGGGAGACTTCATAAATTAATGTTCTTTGTCTTGTTATTTCACTTTTTACATTGACTATAATTTAATTTGATGGAAATTAAAATGTAACATGATAGTTTTGTGGNTTATAAGGGGAGACTTCATAAATTAATGCTCTTTGTCTTGTTATTTCACTTTTTACATTGACTATAATTTAATTTGATGGAAATTAAAATGTAAAATGATAGTTTTGTGATTAAATATTTTGTAGATTATTACCATTCAAAAGTTTTTTTTAGTTGTTGACATTTAGAAATAGTATAAATATAAACATAGGTTGTTGGAGAAAAATTTGGATATTTAAATAATTAAAGATGCAATGGTTGTAATTTAGATGATTAAATGCAAAAACACATATTAATCTTTATAGTTTTTTAGAAGGGGAAAAAAAAAAATTAAAAGTTTTTAATGTTAAAGTACTTTTATTAGTAGTATAGATCTATACTACAAATAAAAGTTGCTTAAATGAAAAACTTTTGATTTTCTTATTTATCTTTCAATAATTCTATAATGTATATTTTATCTTTTTAAAGTAACTTAAGAGATTTTTTTTTTATTTTCTTATTTATCTGCAAAATTACTATAATGTCTATTTTATCCATTTTTTATGAAATTTTTATTAATTGCACTAATTCAACTAATAAATTAATTGTTTGATTTTTTATTATCTTCTTTTCAAACAATATAAATTTGGATATTTGAACAATGTGGCCCGAATCTAATTCAATTGTGCAACAAATTTTATTTTTCATAGTGCATATATGTGTCCGTTAAAATAGATATCTGTTTTGATCCCAATAAGTTGATTAAAGATGATTTTAATATTTAACACATGGATTTCAACTCAATTTTGTTAAATAATCACCAAATTACATCATATATTTGTAGGTATGTAGTGCATATCTAAATTCACGAAAAAATAAATATTTAAATATATCTAATAATCTATATACTATTTTTGAATGTCAATAGTTGTTAAAAAAACTTAATTGATAATATTATTCTTAAAAAGATAAAAAGACTTAACTTATTGTAATAGCTTCTTATTAATTCAAAAAATCAGCAGTCTCTATTTATTAATCACTTACTAAGTTAAACATTATAGTTTTTAATTGCAATGCAATGCAATTCAATTCAATTTTTTTTTTTTTGAAACTTATACAATTCAGTTCATACAACCCAAAATACTAGAAAAATCTTGAATATCAAAATATAAAAATCAGGATAAATTAAACTTTGACCTTCAAATTATTCCCTAAACTATCACATTTTTCACATTACACATTTAACTATGTAATTAGGTTTACATCTTCT